GAGAGAGAGAGAGAGAGAGAGAGAGAGAGAGAGAGAGAGAGAGAGAGAAGACTGAAAGACAAGAGTCAGAGATAGCAAGAAAGAGTTAGTTGGTGGGTGGGAAGTTGGATTGGATTTTTTAACCCCTGTGGTTTCGCCTCCCACAGAATAGAGAAGGGGTGCTTCCTGGCTACCAAGCAGCCCCCAACCTGGATGGAGTGAAAGATGCGTCCCGATGACATAAACCCGAGGACTGGGCTGGTGGTGGCCCTGGTCAGTGTTTTCCTGGTCTTTGGCTTCATGTTCACTGTCTCTGGCATGAAGGGGGAAACTCTGGGGAACATCCCTCTGTTGGCCATCGGGCCAGCCATCTGCCTTCCAGGCATCGCAGCCATTGCTCTGGCCAGGAAAACCGAAGGATGTACCAAGTGGCCAGAGAATGAGCTACTCTGGGTCCGCAAGTTACCCTGTTTCCGGAAGCCCAAGGACAAGGAAGTGGTAGAACTGCTGAGGACCCCCTCAGACCTGGAGTCCGGCAAGGGGAGCTCAGATGAACTGGCTAAGAAGGCAGGCCTCAGAGGGAAGATGCTCCCACAGGGGCCAGGTGAGGTACCTATGGCCAGCTCCATAACCACCCCCACCCCCACAGAGGAAGGAGAATGCCAGAGTTTAGTCCAGAGTGGGCGTCAGGAGGAGACGTCCAGATACCTGGATGGCTACTGCCCCTCGGGCAGTTCCCTCGCCTACAGTGCCTTGGACGTCAAGGGCTCAACCTGGGACAGAGCTGACCGCCCTGAGCCTGAGGATAGCATCTTCTTTGTGCCCCAGGACAGCATCATCGTTTGCTCCTACAAGCAGAACAGCCCTTATGACAGATACTGTTGCTACATCAATCAGAGCCAAGGCAGGTGGGACCACGAGACGATAGTCTGATCTGGGCAAACAAGGGTCCCATCTTGACAGCCACATTGCTACCCTCAGCTCCCAATGGAAGAAAATCTCGGCTCCAACGGCCTCCTCGCTATTAGAAACTGGCTTGGTATGTGATGGGGTGCAGACCTCTGGTGCCTGGTACTCGTGTAAATAGGCATGTGGGGGGGCATATTTTAGGGAAGTACTGAGAATTACTTCTCTTTAGGGAAGAGGCAGTAAATAGGAAAGAAAGTTCCATTTGCTTCTGAACAATTTAAACAATGTTGAATGCTTTGTAAAACAGCCCCCAAAGTGCTAGGAAGCCCCTGGTGACAGCCAGGGACACAGAGAGTGAGCCAGGTATCAAATGTCGCAGGGGCTATCTACACAGAAGCTGGCTGCTTTGTGTCTGAAGAAAGTGAAGGAAAATTTGTGTTCTTTTCCACAAAATGAGTTTTGCCTGTTGAAAAGCTTTTCACGTATGGTAATTGCTGAAAGAAATAAAAATCGAGGTAGAATAGGGGAAACCTCCTTGGATGGGATGAATTTTGGAGGAAGGGGAGTTAAAAGTAGTTGGAATGTATGATTGAGTCCTGGCCTCTGGCAAGACCATGGTTTCAAATGAAGTGTTGACTATGTTATGTGAACTCTTAACTCTTCATTTGAGTTGGTTTGCTGGGACTGTATCTGAAGTTTTTAAGTATTTATTAACACTTATGTATTTCCTTACCAGGTGCAAAGTGACTTGATGTAATATTTTCATAGATTAGAATTTCTTTTTATCAAGACAAAACAAATTTTACATATATATGTCTATCTAAGTGTCTTCAAAGTTTCTGAGAGGCATGTACTAGGAATTACTATATGCCTTTTAGAACATGAAACTACAAAGTCAATTAATTAGTCCTGAACACTATGAAAAATGTATATGAAATGAAATGCTGTTGTCTGTACATTTGTCCAACAACCTCCCACCCCCGACAATGACTGTAATGCCAATGAAACAAGAATTCATTTGTAAGATTTAATGGAAACTCATATTTTATTAAGTTCACTGGACCAGTGAAATTTACATGATAAAAATCTCATTATTTCCTACTATTTTTGTGGTTGAGGGAAAAAACATCATAGTGTTATCCTGAAACTTATTTCCTATTTCTCTTGCTTAATTGCAACAGATAAAAAAGAATAATCAGCTGAAATGTCATTTTATCCCTCTTATAGAATAATTGCATTTATGGGAATGGTGATAGATTTAGTCTTGAGAATTAGGACTATTTTATGCCCTTCAGTGAATTTTAATTCTTATTGTTATACCAACTATTATTATTAGTCACTGTCTCCCAAAAAGTGAATTAAGAACAAAAATTTGGAGGGGGCGGCTTACCTCTTTTATGTATTTCAAGTTCAACTCGGTGATTCCTAAGTTAACTGTCCTTTCTTAAGAATTATACTCTTAAAAGTCATACTTTTTTAATGATGTTTAAGATCAAAAGTATGTCATATTTTTAGTCAGGCCTCAGTGTGGGGAAATGAGATGTGTGATCTTGGACAAAGTTCATTCCAACACCTCAGTTTCCTAGTCTATGGGAGAGGAATGGGGGAAAGACTGATTTACACTACATTGTTTCCATCGTTCATTTCCAGGTAGGCTATTCTAAAACATTAAATCAAAGGAACTGTATGTTGCAGGAAGTAAGCTACAGCAAAATGCATGCCCATGTTATGCAATACACGATCAAGACCATGCAATGTGGATTAAACTGCTACCACGCAAAAGAATTTTGTAGATATATGAAAGCCGATGCATTCCATTACTAAATATTATGTATTAGACACCAATATGTTCCTGGCCATAAAACTGAAAATACTGAGGGTAAGATATTTTTGAAGAAAAAGTGTCTTAGTGGTGATGAATCCCAAAGTCTTCTGCCACACAGCTTTGCACTCTGTGTGACTGGCTCTAGAACTGAGCTGGTGAGGGGTGGGTTCCTAAATCACAGTATCGTTTTGAAGGCAGAAAATAATGTTTACGGTGAGAAGATTATTGGAAATTCAGTAACAAATGTTTTCTCCAATGAACTTGCCACTGTTGGCATTGTCAGGAGCAAGGGGAATAGACAGATGTTTGTTTGGGCTCAGTGAGTCTGACATGGGTCTGAGGGGAGGGAGGGGACAGAATGTCCGCTAAGATTAGGAATTTGGAGAAGTTGCCTTCTGGAAACAGTTTAGAATTTTTCACTTGATGTGTACATGTATGCACAGAGTCCCATTTCCAAATCAAGGGTCAAATACTGACTTAGAGATATAAGCTATTTTTAATCACATTTTCAAATTGTATTTCAGAAAAAACAATTCTTCCATTTACCTATTTAAAATATGGAAGCTCTCTAAGTATACACTTGTGGGTACTTTTTCCTGTGCCAAAAGAATAATTTTCAGATGTTGGGCTGAGAGATTTAACCTTCTTTACCCAAAGAATAAAATGTGAGTTGTGAGTCGTGTGGATTTTTCTTAGCATCTTCCTCTGAGCCACCCCCTCCTCTGAGCTGCAAGGCGGCCTGGTCCTAACCAACACTGTAAGTACTATTCGGGGTAAACCTGTTGTTCTTATGAATAGAGACAGAAGAAAGAGGACAAAAGTGTCCTAAGTCCTTACAGGAAAGGAGAACAGTCCATTCATTCAAACCAACAGCCTCAGGAAATTACTAACATTAACCTAAGGAGCACGAGGACTGTTCCTGGAAGCCTTGAAGAACTCCCAAACTGATAGGAATTGAAATAGGCCCTGGTTTCTTTTCCTTTGCTGTTAATTCAAACACTCATTTTCTACTTGATGTTAAATGGGCATTTTACTTTTGAAGTTTCTGTATTCCATTTCTCTTGCTCTGTATTCCTACTTATTAGGACCGCAGGTTCTTTTCCCATCTGCCTATTTCTCGATTCCTAAATGTGAATTCAGCCAAGATACACAAGCTGGAGCACATTGGACAACTGTTTCAAGATTTCCTCTCCATTGCAATCCTCTTGGGGGAGGGATCCAGACCCAGCTAGGTTCCAGCTCTCTTCCAGTTCTGCTTATCAACTCCTCCGAAATGTTTTCAGTACTGTGGATCTTAACATCCACTGAGTTGACAAAACCAGAAAAGGACGGTAAGTTCTCCTAATGATGTTTCTCTTCCACGAGTTCTAAACTCTTCTTATTAGTGATAGCCCTCTGTGCCCACAGCACTGACTATTTGGTGAATTCACTCTCTTTACCACCATTACTACTTTTATCATATTAAAGAAAAATATTTTTGCTGGGCATGGCGGTCATGGTCCTGTAATCCCAGCGAGGGGACAGAGTCAGGAGCAACAAGAATTCAAAGTCATCCTCAATGTGAACTGGGGGACAGCCTGGTCTGCGTGTGACCCCATTGGAAAAAGAAAAAAAAGAAACTACCTTTGATAATTGAAATTCCTTTACTTCTATCTTGCCATCCCCTCTTCCAGACCTCATCCACATGCACACACGGTGTAATGATTATAGCAGCCTGCTTTTATTTTCCTTTTCTCCCTTAAGTAATCCCTGAGCATGTTTTTCCCCTTTCTGTACATTATTCCTAATCATCAGTTAATAACTGTGTAATGTGCCATTTTGGTGGTTCCACCATCTATCATGCCATTCCTTATTGCTGACCATATATAAAGTATTATTGACGTTGTTACCATATGGCCACAGAAATGAAACCTTACCATTGAAAAGCTGTCTCCTTGCAGAGGGGGCAGAAGTGTGTAACTTCATATTGCCACTCAACCTTCTCTTCACACATGTGGCTTTAAGAAACAGGGTGGAGGACAATATGATGTTGCTTCAAACTGTTGCTCCTCAAAACTAGATTATAACAAGGTTGGCCTACAAAAGCACAGTGTCCAACAAGCAAAATAATGAATCAATAGACTTAATTGATGGTAATTTCTAATATCCCAAAGCATTTTCTTGAAGTACTTCCCCATATACTTTATATTTCAGATGTGTGTGCATTAATAACTTATAAATGAACTGAAATTTTAGGAATTTAACTGACTCTACCCAGGACTTTTCTGTGTTTCAATTCCTAACTACAACAAAATAAAACAAAACAACCTAAAGAGAGGATGGAAACATGCATAAGTGATTGAAGCTCAACCAGAAATCTCACTGAAGGCTTGCATTCCAGTTGCCCCTAGTCAACTTGACATAAAGGCATGCACATACTGTGTTTTGTCAGTTTGCTGTTACCCTGACAAAGTGCCTGAGAGTATAACCAATTTATAAAGAGGAAAGGTTCTAATCCATGTGTAAAAAAAAAAAAAATCACAGTTTTGGACGTTTCAGTCCAAGGTCGGGTGGGCCCATTGCTCTGGGACCTGTGTCAAGATGTCCCACATGACAGGGACCGGACAGCACTAGAAAGCTTCCCTTGTGTCTGAAATGAAGTGGGAGGAAGAGGCTGGGGTCCCCATAGCCCTCTGGTGGCATATCCCCAGTGACTGGAAAACCACGCACCAGGCACTTCCTCCTCAAGTTCCCAGAACGTCTTAGCAGCACCAAGTTGGAGAAACAAGCCTCTAACGTGTGTGGGGTTTTGTGGGGAGGGGAGGGTGGGGTGGAGGAGCATTCCAGATCTAAACCATAGCAAGCACCATGGAGCTCTCATCCGCCTTTAGCAGGGTTTCATTCCGCAGGCTCCCAACACAAAGCTTATTCAGGTTGGGCTCCCTTGACCCCAAGTCTTGGGATCATAAGTATTTTAGATTTTGGAGTTACTAGATTTGGGGACATTTGCTAATTTATTAGGTAAGCTTTCCTAACCCAAGATTCTAAATGTGAAATGCCATGAAATTTAAAACTTTTTGAATGTCATGTCGGCATTGGAATAGTTTCCAACTTAGAGCACTTGGGAGTCGGCTTTTTGAATTAGGAATACTCTACCTGGATACAATGCTCACCAGATACACAAGACAGGCACGGGCTCAGTCTCCAGCTGGCGAGCTATTCCTGGGCCTGACTCCAGCCAGGGGTCTTTTCTCTCCTTCCTCCTCCTGACCCCAGGTTAGAGCTCAACACCCCCCCCCCCCCCCGGTATCCTCGGTGACAGGGCAAGGCTTTGGAAGCTGGAGGTGAATTTACAGAATGAGTCGGTTATTAAACACACAACATGAAGTGCTCTCTTTGATGACACCTGTCAAATCTGAAAGTGAAATGTAAAGATATTTCACAATCCATCACTTCCTATTTTCATAGAAATAGGCAACTGTACATAAGTCTTCAGCCCGAGGCAGGACCTTATGAAGGAAACTGGGCTTTGAAACTCATCTTCGTATAACCCAGCAGTCCGAGTGTGGGCAGCCACCTGCTCTGTGAGCAAGCAGACCCCCAGGACCACTCTGAGAGGCCCACTCTGATTGCTCTGTCAACTCCCTCACACCCTATGTGGCAGCTCCCTCTATTTAAATGTGTTTTTTGAATTTTTTATTTATTTTGGTATCTTTTGTCTCACTCATTTTTTTTTTTTGTTTGTTTCTCTTGATTATTTTACTTTTTGGTTTTTAAGGGAGAAAGAACATGAAGTTGGGTGATTATGGGGGTGGAGAGGATCTGGGAGGAGGGGAAAATATATGAAACATATTATATGAAGGGATATTTTATTTTTAAAAATTGGGTAATGAGATAAAATTTATTTAGTGAGGTGGGAAGAGTGCGTTCACGCCATGGAACACATTTGGAGGTCAGAGGGCCATTTGTAGGAGTCAGTTCTCTCCTTCGGCCACGTGGCTCCCAGGAATCAGCTCACGACAATAGGCTGAACAGCTCGGGCTTTACCCACTGAGCCACCCTGCTGGCCCTGCAGCAGCTGCCTGACTTCCTAGCTCCGGGACCTGCAGCTGACTGCCAGACCTTGGTCTAAGAGCTCCCCCGAGAAAGGGATGATATTTGGTCCATCTTTTCCTCCCCTATCCCTCCAAAATGCATCCTGCCTTGCTCAGTGAAATCTCCAAATTGCACCATTTAGTCACACTAAAAGTCTATTTCCCTTTTTATATTAAATATAATCAGCAATAATGTGGACTAAAATAGGCCTCTGTGGGTCGAGATCCTAATTTCTGTTTGGTATATTGTTTCCCCGGAGGAACTACACCTCACATAACAAGGAGAGGAGAAGCACCTTTGCAGAACAACTCCCTTCCCGCCATGATGGAGCTAACTCCCATTGTCTGAGCTCTGGGTCAGTGACTGCACCAAGCACATGGCAAGAACTGGTGATTCTCGGAGCACGTGAAAACATGTGGATTTTGAATCCACAACCAGAAACAAAAGTAAATCAATGCTAATCGTGTTAATGTTGCAAGTGTATAAACAAAACAGCATCTCCAGCACTGGCCACGGTCCCTCTGCTCAGCTTCCCTCTGACAGTACTCAACAGTGACCTCAAGGTAAACTGGCTCTTCTCTCAGGTCAGTAGTGAGGAGCTGAGCTGCCAGCCTCACCCGCTGCCCCCTCCAACTCCCAGCGACGTTTTCTTTCTCCACACAGAGACTGTGGTTTGTGCTTCAGACAAGCCCAACTGTTCTGGAACAGGATGATGGCATTGTTCAGCCATTCCCACGAGCACTATTTAAAGCCATTCTTAATAACTTCTAACCTATATAGTTTGTCCTGTGAATTTCCCCCGCTGTCTGACTAGACAAAAATGATTTAACTCCTTTCCTGAGCCATAGGGACCAATGAGATCTCAAACACCACAAGACATCCTTGGAATGTGGGGAAAGAGGTTGTGTGAGATTTTCCAGCCCTGGGACAGAACTTCTGACGCAGGATCATTTGGCCTCGTGCTTTCGGAGGTTTGAACCCGTCATGGTGTATACGGCGACACGCATCACAGCAGCAGGGGGCTGGAGGGAAAACGTCTGGCTTCTGAACCTTCTCCTCTTGTCCAATTCCGTTCCAGTCCCAGCCGATGGGATAGTACTGCCCACACTCAGAACTGATCTTCTCCCTTAATCCTCTCTGAAAATGTGCTCACAGAAGTGTACTTCCCTAGTCTCCTAGGCACCTCCACATCCAGTAAAGCTGACAATCAAATGAAGCACCAGAGAGGCCAAGGAAGACCGTGCGGGGCTCTCAGCTGGGAGCGAGCCAGCAAAGCCCTCAGAAAGCCGATCACCGTCACAGGGGCTGCCCTTTGCGCTGCCTAAATCACTTTCCATCCCCAGCTTAGAAGCAAATGCCAGAAAATGGGCTGAGAGAATAACCCTAAATGCTTTTAAGGTGAAAAATAATAATAATACAAGGAAAATGCTAGAGAACTTTGACATATTTTTATATAACTAAGAAAACACATATATGTATTTAATTTTAAAGTATATTCCAATGAGCACAAAATCTAACTAGAAATATCTTCCTGCTAGATATAGTTTTTTTAAAAAAATAGAAAATAGTAAATAAACAAGATCAAATGGGTTAAAAATGAAT